TTTGTTATATTTTTCTCATATAAAAGTTTTTATTCGTATATTGTACAGATTGAAGATGATAGAAGATTGAAACATGTTGCATCACGATCTTATTGCGGAACGCTTGTTCGCCATTTAGATTCCCTTTATTTGTTAGTCATGTTGAATGTTTCTTTATGATAATTTTCTTGTACATATTGTTAATAACTATTAGGTACTGGCTCTAGCGTTTTGCGATATGGGACACCTCATGCCATATGCTTCTTCAAAAGTATGAAGATTGAAGTTTTTAGTGTATCATGTGGACATTGCCATACTCTAGCAGTTACTAACAATGGAATCTATGCTTGGGGAGCTAGTCAATTTGGTCAGTTAGGACTTGGCAAGGTGCTGCAATGTTCAAGTCCAGAATTGGTTACTTCATTGGCGCAAGAAATTATTGTTGATGCAGTAGCTGGACAGTATCATTCTGTAGCACTAACTGCAGATGGTAGAATATTCACGTGGGGTTGGGGTGTTCACGGCCAATTGGGCCACGGCAATACTGATGAAAAAGCTACACCATCTTTGGTCAAAGCTCTGCTTGGCGTAGTCGTGTGTAGTATCAGCGCTGGATATGCACACACTTTGGCACTATCAATAGACGGTGTTTTATATGCTTTCGGATGTAATATTCTTGGTCAATTAGGAACAGGCGATAATACCAAAAGTTCTATTCCGATAAAAGTATCGTTACCTGATGGGATAACGCTTATAAGTACTGGATACTTTCATAATGTAAGTCAGTAAACAAACGTAACTTGTGTCTCATATATGTATATATTTTTTATGCAACATGATGTTACAATCATTAAAACTGTTCGTTGTTTTTCGTAACAAATCTCTATATTTTTAACATCATAACAACAGAGATTTTTTATGCGTATTCTGTTCTATGTTTGCAGCTAGCTGTCAGTAATACGAACAAATTATATATATGGGGTGCGAGTCCTCAAGTTCTCAGATTGCAAGCACAAGCGCAAAAGAAGACTCGTATATTAGAGCAACAAGATGCTAATGAGAAAAGAAATAAGACTTTGGGAGAATTGGAAAAAATATCAAGTGATGCTACAAATCTAAACGGAAAAATAAAAGAAGAATTTTCGAATAAGAAAGATGGTGTAGAAACTAAATCTTCTCACACGGAAACTTCTGATATAGAAACGCAAAAGAAACTCGAGACTAAAAACGCACATTTGAAAGACTTTAACTTTGATTTGATCGAGGAGAGTCAAACACATTTAAAACCATGTGTTGTTGACACAAGTTTGGTAAAAGGTCAAATTAACCAGGTTCGTAATATAAGGGAACTTGAAATTTATATGCTGTACTTAGTTTAATAAATATGACAAATACTTATGTATCTTTAAACTAAACGCGTAGAGAACATTACGTTCGTGACGTTAGTAGAAAAGAATCGTGCGTACTTTGTGATGTAACTTGTGATCATTTGTACAGATATCAGCTGGCTGTCATCATAATGCATTAATAACAAAAGATGGCTCTTTATATACATGGGGCCGTAATCTGGATGGTCAAATAGGTAACGGCACACGACGAGAAGTATTAATTCCGACGCCTCTGTACTATAATTCAGCTTGTATTTTTGCACAAATACCTCCTAGACACAATGATTTTAAAAGAATACAAAATCAACGGGACTTTGACACTGACGCCAAATCGAATTATTCACTGGCAAATAATAGAACTGTGCCTGAGAACAATGGGAATATCAGTGATTCGTCGATATATGTAGAAAATGCTGGCCTAAATAAAGAGAGAACCAATCCTGTAATTAATGCTGTTGGCGTTGCTTGTGGATATGATTACACAGTTGCGATACAATCAGGTTACAAAGAAATAAGATATACATATTCGCTAATTAAATTATTCATCTTAATGCCAAGATATTTGTCACACAATTCGTTTTGAATCTCTCAAATTTAATCGAGTTATTTGATATGTTATTCCTATCTATCTAAAACACATAATTGAATATACATGTAATTGTACATGTAATTGAACTTTTTTATATTATAATCGTTCTCTCTTTTTTTCTCTCTTACACAATACACGGTGTTTAATAGCTTGAAAAGAAAAAAATGTTGCATTATAAAAATTATAATTTCTTTTAGGAGGTACGGTATTAGCTTGGGGCAATAACAGTAGAGCGCAATTGGGTCGCATTCCTGAAAAACGAATAGTACGACTCCCTAATGCGTTGCACGTAGCTTTAGACGTTCCTAGTCAAGTACCTGGCATTTCTATGCCAGTGATATCTTATCGATCTAATGATGTGTTTTCTCTCGCCGGATTCGTCTGTCCTTTAAGCGTTATCGAAAAATCGCCTGGGGAATTAACGCTTCATTATGTTCTGGAATATTTCTATAGTTTATATAACTCTGCCAATATTATGAAAAAGGTTAGTTGATTGTTTTATCTGATGATTAATAAGAAAGGTGTGACATAATAACAATTAGAAGAAGAAAACATTTATCGTTTTACTCAATCATTATAGTTGAATTAATATCTCGCATAAATTATGTTTCTTCTATACTTCGAAGAAGAATGTTTTAAATAAAAATATATTTGTACCTATTTCTTCCACTGAGAAGAACGCAACGTAAAATATAAAGTTTTTCTTTTTTGCAAAATATGCAACATTAATTTTATTGTCAAATATGTTAAATTGAATATTTGTATTTCAGTTTAAAACAAAATATAACACACAACGATACTGTTACTAAAACAACTAAGACAGATCTTTTTCTGTTGCAGTGTGTCGAATTGGAGAATTATCAAGCTTGTTCTAAAATAGCAGCGTTAGAAAATAATGTTTTAGCTGCTTTCACTTATCAGTTGAAGATGTTACATAAATTGAGTCTTCAGTCCAAAAATTATTCGGAAATTTCACATGAAACAACAGAATCCACAATCCAGATTAGTTCACAAAATCATGTAGATGTGATGAGAGATTCTATGTCGTCCCGAAATATCAAGAAAAATACTGAATTATTTAATACACAAGCGGAGAAGAATCTCATAGAATCCTTGGAAAACAGCGTCGCTCGAAGTTGGAGAAAAATTTCTACGAGTAGATCACTGAATAATTTGCAAACACTAGCACAAGAATTAAATTCTTTCGACTGTCAAGGTGGTTTAGAAGAATTATATAAAACTCGAAAAAAGGATGATTCCTCATCGAACGTTAATACAAATCATTCCAATACCAAATATAATCCTAACGAGGATGAACAGCAATGGATTAAGGATCTTATTTTTAATGAAAACGATTCGCTTCTGCAACATAAAAACGCCACTTGTAATTCCGTGCAAAATACAACTCGATCGATCTGCTCGAAAACAATGTTGATTGTCAATGACAATCGGTGCGACGAAAATGAAGAGAAGACTATAATGTCGGACAAAATGTCCTCCCATTCTCAAAAGAATTACATAATTAACGAAACAATGAAAGCATTAAGGTTTTATTTGAAAAGTATCAATAATGAATCAAATACTGTAAAATGTGAAATATTGCAAAGTGCAATTGGTTTTTGGATTGAGCACAAATTACCGATACAATGTTTGGAGAATATTTTTCTCGAACATATACATATCGTTTATTACCCTCTTGGACTATTACTTTTTTGGTAAATGACACCTTGCTGTAACTTTACAGCCTTAAATAGTTTATGTTTTTATTATCATATGATTATCCTATGTTTTGGATGTGATATATTTATTTAAAGATGCAGGGGGATTCCAAGACTCGTCAAAAATTCAAATTATTTAGCTATAATATTAAGCATTTTCCTGAAGTAGAGCCAGAAAATGTAAAATATACGATTTACTATGTGCTGTAAAACTGCAATCTAAGTTGCAGAGAACGTGGGACAGTTTGGGAATCTCTAATGGCATCATAATTAAAATAAGATGAGACAAATTAATGACGAACATCTTCATATTTTTAATTCATTATCGTTTTCACAGTCAGGATGTGATAGAAAGATATTTAAATATAAGTAAGTATGGCGACGAAGGAAAGGACTGGTGCGCGAATAATTTATTCTCAACTAAATTCTGTCTTCAAGTATTATCAATGTTAATGCAACATATCGATGAAGGTTGTTAGCTTGATATTTTTTATCTTTCAAATTACTTTTGAAGTATAATAGATTAACGTAATAGTGAAATTGTTATATTTCAGATGACATTATGCCGGAATATATTAAAATTTTCTCCTCTTTAACGGCGGACAGTTACGGAGCACCTTTAAACGGATATCCAGGTGCAAATGGAAATAATAATCCAGAACAAATGATGGAAGGAACCGTCAATACGATACTTTCCGAAATGGAAGATTCCAAATTATTTGCACATGTCAAGGTAATATTTTCCTGAGATGGCCATCTGTGTGAGCGGGCGAGGGAGGGAGCGAGTGAGAGAGAGAGAGAGAGAGAGAGAGAGAGAGAGAGAGAGAGAGAGAACAACTTATTACACTAATTATATAGTTGACACTCAATAGTTGGATTAAATTTGCATCGTATTTTACTTAACTTTTTAATATTAAATTAAAACAGGACTCGGATGCTGTAAATCACTTGCTTACAACAGAAGAAGATAATATGATATTTACTTGCGGACACCACTTTCCAATCTCTCAATACGAAGCAGACATTATCCCGTCGTTGGAAACAAAATTACTAACATCTCCATCTTTGATTCTTCCATGTACGTCGCAGTATTTAGGAAATATGTTATCTTGCACACCTGAACTAGAAATTATGTGTCCTTTGTGTATAATTGGAGCATTAAGAGCAACAATGGCAAAGGATTACGATTAAAAGTATGTTAACTCTTTCGATATGTTCACATATATCTAAATAAAGAGTGTGATTATGTTCAAATATATTTGAAAATGATAATTACATAATATATAATTATGATATATATATATATATAGTTAGTTATAATATAATTAACAATTACGACTGTTACCCGTGTTTAACGCTTCCTTCGTTTATTTCGCATACCTGTGCGGGCACCCTTTCTCGCTCTAGAAACAATGTTCTGGAATTTTCCCGCGTTCTTCTTTTATCTGTAAAATGCAAACGTTCAATTTATTAATATATCAATAAATGAAGAATGTAACATATACATACAACAGATGGATTAAAATATTTATTATTGACCTTTTATTCAATATAGATCTCGACAAGGATACATATGCTGGTTTACTCTTTTTCTTAATATCTCCTCTAGCTTTTATCGCACGAACCGGGTTCACTGTCTACCTTTCTCATTTTTAACGATCGATGAATACCCGAGCCTCTAGCTGAAAAATTAAAGAAAAATGCAGAAAGTTGATACAAAATATTATTAGCTAGCCTAATAAATCATTCATCATTATTACAATAATCATTACAAAGATATGTTTTCTATTATCATTGTAATATTACTGACGCTATTATAGAAGTAGCTTAGTTACGAATTCAATTTCTCATGTCACATTTGTCAAACATATCGTCTTAAATTTCTTACACATTGTCTTTAAAGATTTTTACTTGTACAAAATAAAAAAAGACACTTTTCTTTAATGAAAAAATTTGTAAATTTACCTCGATATTTTGACGTTGACTATTAAAACACCTATTGTAGATCCGGACCTAGTCCAGATCTACAATAGAGTTCTAAGCCTTAAGCCATAAGAAACTGACCAATTACAGACGAATCCGAGGGAAATAATCGACTGTGAATCGCTCATTTCCTATGACTTAAGACTTAAAACCCTATTGTAGATCCGGGGTAACCCTCAGTGGAAACGGTTTGTTCGCGTCGCAAGCTCCAACATCTCCAACATGTTCTTACCACAGCTCCTACTCACTCTATCAAGCTTGTTGAAGTAAGTAAGAGCTATAGTAAGAGCATGTTGGAACATGTTGGACCATGTGACGCGAACAAACCTTTAGTCACAATCGCAGAAAAGAAAGCAGAATTGATCGCGCTGTTCCGTTCCGCTGTAAATGTTTGCTCATGGGACACTAGTCTCTTGGCCAGTGCCTAATAACTTTTCATTGTTTTATCAATGAGAATATTTTATTTTAAATTGGCCAATTAGCCAATTGTGCGCTATCGAAACCCTCCCACGAAATACTGCAATGCGAGCATGCGAATTTTACAATAGTTATAGAGTTGCTTTTTCTGCAGCCATTTTAAACTTACAAAAAATTGTCATATATTTATCTTTAATCTTTCACATACATAAGAAACAAACGAGGCATGCACTGTCGAGAGAAAAATCTGATTATTTAAATGCGACGTGCATACTTCAATATAAAAACATAATCTTGTAATAATAAGGGCTTTATTATAAGCATTCATACATAGAGTACAGTAACAATCAGATACACTCTCTATTCCTCAGTTTCGTTGTTCTTGCTTTGCTTTGGCTTAGGACACAGCTTTGCCTCCGGATACTTTTTAGTCAGAAAACTATGCAATGCTCCGTATTCTGCTAGTAAATTTATCCTCGTTTCATCGAAGTGTCTCGTTCGTTCTAATTTTACCAATTTTGTTTTAAACGATGGAAGTTTAGTATAAAATGCAGGAGGTCTCTTTTTTTGCAATATTACTTTGCCACCCAAAACGTATTGAGTAAAATCGAGGATCTCATGCGACGTTACTTCTTCTGGCTTTCTAACTTTCGATGGCGAAGCGATTACTTCTGGATAATTTCCGTTTTCTGATTTAAATTCAACCAAGTGCAATTGTTTTTCGTCCGCTAGTTGTTGATACGATTTCTGTAAAAAAAAGTTTCTCGTTAATTGTCGGATTAATTTAAGGTATAATGCAATGACTTTTTGACAAATGGCTTTTCACTTATCATGCGTTTTGTGACGTATAATTGTAGCGAAAAATCATTAAGCTCCATTTGAAATTAACAATAAGTAAAGGACCAAGTTGTCATATGTACACATTGTACATTTCTATTTGATTAAATAAACTTGAAATTCATCATTAATTATTCATTAATAAAGAGATTATGAAAAAAGTTTTTAAATATAAAAATAATCTGCTCACTTTGAGATTAATAACTTCTAATATACATATCTTTTTAACAAATTAAAGAGAGAATGTGCTCAATGTATATTATATTGAATTATATTGGTATATTATATTGAATTAAAAGGAAGTGCCCCTTTACCCTACCCCCTTTTCCCACTATCCCTTTATATAAAGCGTTTATATGTAATTCTCCAGAAAAGAGCAGCTCATTATCAGCATACTCCTCACTTTGATGAAGTGAGCGAGATTCATAAAACATTGGTACTAGCTATGGATCACAACAGCGATAATCCGCAAACTCTTTGGCATCATTGAATTAAGAGATTAGATACCTTGTGAGATACATACCTGTTGCAATAAACCAATAAAGAAAGCTTTTATAATATTCTGTAAATTTATAGAACCTTCTACTTTGGCATGTATATCCTTTATCCCAATCGCTTCGCAACATGCTTTTATCGCACGATGGCAGACAAGTCCATATCCTTCGTGCATTTTCTTTACAAATATCTTTGTGTTTCCAAATTGTGTAAAAAAATCATGTGATACTGAAACAAAGTCACACATAACGTGATATTAGAAAGAAGAAGTGAAACACAAGTTTTGCATAATCATATTTTTTACCAGTATGCTCTTTGTATCTAGGAATATACATCAATCTTTGACCCGCCCTATTCTTAGCCGTTTTCATCGCTGCTTTTTGTACAGGTGCTTTTGCTAGTGCAAATCCAGCTAGACCATTTCCGTTTCCTGTTACGACAAATATACTGATCCTACTCTTGCGTCCTAAATTACCAGTCATATGAGTTACTATTTTGCTTTCCAGTACCCAAGTTTCAAAGTCATCAAAGGTATCTGAAAGACAGATGCATCAATTATGTAATCTTGACATCGCTAGAATTATATACATATATATATATATATATATATATATAAAAGATATGTGTATCAAGAAGAAAGTTGATAAGAGTATTATATATACTATATGTATATACAGGATGAATATTAATAGTTGAATTCATATATATATATATATATATATAGAGCTTGTAATTTAATCATATAGTTATTATTAATGTAATTGTATGTGGTTAAGCTATAGTAAATAACAATAACAATAACCTCCTCCAATAGAATCAGGTGGTCCAATCTTTCTGCCACCAATATGAGCGCTTGTCCAACCTTGTTCCAAACGTGATAATTTCATCCGTTTTCTCATCGGAATGCTCTGCCGTAGCTTGGCGAGCCTTTCTTCTCTTTCAGGATCAACAGGTAGCTTTTGCTGATGAACGAGTTCTCTTCCTCTAAACACAGGAGTATTGAGACCAGGGAATTGCATTGAAACTTTTCCTATTCCAATAATCTGACCCTTGTTTAAATCTTTCTTTCTTGGTAAGCCTTTTGCTCTACCTCTGAGTCTTCCTGCATTACTGACACTCGTCACACCCTTCCACAATTCATCCGCAGATTCTGTGAGAGAGTAGTGTGAGAAGAGAGAAAATTACAAGCATTTTTTTACCTAAAATATTACGCTCACCAAAACTTTACTCACTATTTACGAAAAATGTCTTATTCCTCGTACTATGTACCAAAGGGATGTGCGTCTTTAACAGATGTGAGTATATGTAATCAACAGTAAATAAATTACGTGTATCTGTGAAAAGATATTACAGTGAACGTTATAGTGAACAATAGCAAATAAATTGAGCTGATAAATTAATTTAAATGGATATATGCGTATTTCGTTTACATTTCGTACCGTTGCTCACAGATGAAACGTTTCTTGGCGAATTTTTCACAAGTCCACAAACACGTAATAAACACGTTCGAATCATTTTTAACTTTTATTAATTTACAATATTTACATTGAGATTTTCATTGAACTTACTCGACATTAGTCGATAATAAAACCAGAGAAAACTGAGAGGAGCCACCCAGTATTTTTCTTTCTGCTGAAC